ACACAGAAGGAGACAGTCTCAGTGAGAAGCTCTAAGGAGTGACCCTCCTTTCTCTCCTGGTGGGTTTATTCCTGCACATCAGACCTTGAAGTTGAGTTATCCTGCTTGCAGAGCTGTGCTGTGATGCAAACCTGCAGGGAGAGCGTGTGCCACTGTGATCAGGCAGCTGGAATTCCACTGCTGCAGAAAATAATGGGAAGAGAACAGCCCATAAATCCTGCCCAGGCTTCCCCAACAGTAGATTTACATACACTTACTTGAATGAGATAAAGGTCTTCAAATTACATAGCTTCAAATTAGATTAGCTCTGTGTGAGTTTGTCAATCCTCGGGGAGAGTGAAGCCATGGAAGTTCTTGCCTGCTGGGAGGCTGAACTTGTGCAAATGAGCTCTGCAGAGCTCAGGTCTCTTTGGAAGCTGTCAGGTATATAGAGAGCGCTTCAGAAAGGGGCTGTGCTTCCCCCAGGTTCTTTTAGGTGCTCTTGAGCCACAGGGGTTGATGTAGTATGTGTGATGTGCTGCACTGGCTTAGGTGCCTCACCTGTAGCTCCAAGGGAGGTCAAGGCTCTGCAGTGCAGACACCCAGTATGAGGCAGTCCTTGTCTGAGGAGTAAGTGAAAGCCCTTGACTGAAAGGGGAAATGATGTACCCATGAGAAGGAGAATTCAGGAGTGAAGGCACCCACCATGTGCAAGGTAGACCCTAGAACATGTGTAAAGGCAACGCTAAGGATAGAGTCTGGGTCTCCCCTCTGTCAAAGCACCCTGCAACATCACATCCTCTTCTGCTGCCCAGCTCACCACTGGGAGAGGGTTAGATTTGCCTTAAGAGTTGATATAAGTAAGTCCAGTCTGGAGTGAGTTACTTGCACCCCTAAGGCTGGCTCCTTCTGCACGTGTTGTCTATGCCTCTGCTCTGGAGACTTCACCTCTTGCACCTCAGGTCCCTCATGAGCAGGCTCTGTGTCCTCTATACACAGAGTTGAACCACCAAGGTGCCCAAGTTGGAGCCCAGGCAATGCAAAGGCTGATCCTCAGCAAGGCTCTGCTCTGCCTGGCTGTAGCATCCAGGGCCACGTCGTGCCTTACAGATGATTTGTGCTGGGCATAAAAAAAGAGCCAGTGACGCTTGTTCAGGCATTCAGGAAGGGCTGGAGAGGGGAGGAGGACTGCAGCGTTGACACCCCCAGGCACTGCTGCAGGGTTACAGTGCTGTCAGCACGGTGGAGAAATCACTGCAGGCAAACCTGAGGGAAACTTCTTGATGTTGGGTTTTTCTCACCAGAAAACAGAGCTCTATCTAAAGCAAATGCTTTCCTAAAGTGTGGGTTTGGTTTAATCTGAATTGCTTTGGCTTTGGGGTTTAAGACGTGTCAAAGCATTCCAATGACACTAAAACAAAGTGTTTCTGTAATGATAGGTGAAACTCTTGCTCTCTGATTCCATTAACTTTTTAATCCAGGCAGTATCTAAAGGACTGATAACATCCTGTGATGTTCACCCTATGGAAACTCCAGTTTGGAGCAAAACTTCTCAGCTTTGGTAATCTCTTGCACAGTAGAAACCAACCAATTCTCACCCAGTTGAACCTGTTTCAGGCTGCCTTTGCTCAGTAACGGTCTCAGTGTGGCACTGAGCAATATGAGCATGAAGATTTGTAGATACCCAGATACAGGAGGATTTAAGAGGTGTCTGCATTACCTCCCTTTGCTCCCTGCTGGAACCATGCTCTGAAGTATCTCTTCTGGCTGCTGGCTGAACTTGGTTTGATTAAGCATGGCAGCACCCATAAATTGGAACATTTCTATTGGGAGTGGATTACGTTTATGCTCATAACTCAGGGTTTAGAGAATCACCTTTAAAATAGTGCTTTCTCACTGCTCTTTGGGCTGTTCTTTAAGTCCCCCTTCTGCCTGCTCCACCTGGGGCTGAAAAGATGGAGCGTGCAGCTTCCAGCACAGCAGGGAGCTTGTGTTGCATTGTGCTGGACTCAGCTTTAAGGCAAGACAATGGTGAGGTGGTGCTGGAACTCACCATACCCACGGCCTCTGTTAGAAAGCCCTCAGGATGCATTTTTCCTTGCATTGGTTATTTCTGTAGACCACTCAGCTGATTCTTGCCGATGCTGAGGGAAACTTGTCTGGAGCCAGGCTGAGAACATTGGGGCTATTCAACCTGGAGAAGAGAAGCTGTGTGGAGACCTCAGGGCAGCTTCCAGTATCTGAAGGGGCTACAAGGATGCTGGAGAGGGACTCTGCATCAGGGCCTATAGGGACAGGCCAAGGGGAATGGCTTGAACCTGCCAGAGGGGAGACTGAGCTGAGCTCTTAGGCAGAAGCTCTTCCCTGTGAGGGTGCTGAGGCGCTGGCACACGGTGCCCAGAGAAGCTGTGGCTGCCCCATCCCTGGCAGTGCTCAAGGCCAGGTTGGACACAGGGGCTTGGAGCAAGCTGCTCCAGTGGAAGGGGTCCCTGCCCGTGGCAGGGGTTGGAGCTGGAGGAGCTTTACGGTCCCTTCCAACACAAACCAGGCTGGGATTCAAACCAGACCAGCCAGCCAGGGACACAGGATAGGAAGCCAATCTGCTAAATAAGGATTTACCCCAGAGGCAGCCCTGTGTGCCAGCCATCTCCTAATGCTCTCTTAAGGAACCTGGCAGCACAGGCTGCTTCCTCTTCCTGACAGTTCAGCTCAGTCCTCCAGCTCTGCAGCAAGATGTTTCCAACCAGAATCACATTTTGTTGTCTTCTTGGTACAGTGCCTTTTAATTAGGAACACAGCTGCTCTGGAAACATGGAGCTCACTTTTCAAAGAGCACTCTGGAACGTGATTACAATGGATTAAAGCAGAAAGGTTGAGCAATTTATTCATGTGTGCTTAGAATGCAGTGGATTACCTCGTGCTGTAAAAATGATTTAAGAGAAAGAAGGAAAAACACCTTTTTGGCTCTTGCTGGCCTTAAGGCTGCCAGAGGGGAGATTGAGATGAGCTCTTATGCAGAAGTTCTTTCTTCCCTGTGAGGGTGCTGAGGGGCTGGCACAGGGTGCCCAGAGAAGCTGTGGCTGTCCCATACCTGGCAGTGTTCAAAGCCAGGTTCCTCATGTCAGTGTTGTGTGTGGTTCTGCTGGGTAGCATTGGATTCAACTTGTCTTAGGCTTGGGAAACTGGCTTTGTGACGATTCCTGGTTGAAATACGAGGGACCCAGAGGCAGCACTGGGAAGCTCTGGTCATTGAATACCTGCTGTGGCTGTGGTTTGAGCCACGCTGTGCTCTGCTGGAGCAGGGAGAACTGGATGTGCTGCTCCAGCCTGGAGCTGGTGTGGAGCAGGAGCAGCAATTGGTGCTGTTAACACACTTGGTGCCTTCTCGTAGGATAAAAAGGGGCTGGAGCTGCTCACATACGGCGCTTGTGGGAGCAGTAGTGGTTTGGAGGAGTCTTTGAGCAGGATGCTAAGCATGAAGATTGTGTTTGAGTGCAATTCAAAGCCAGGCAGTGCCTTGCTTGCCCTTATTTTGTTTGGCTGATGTAGGCGTGTTTTTGTTTGTACTCACTTTTCTCTCCTATATTGTCCCTTTTTCCACAGCAATGTTGACGGTTCCATCTGCTTATTTATCACCCCCGGTTAGAACCTGCATTTCAATTAGCAATCTGCTTTGTTTAGCTTCGTCTTCGACAAGGCATTGAAAGCTCCAACAAAGCTTTAGTACATAAAGCTACTTGTAATGCAACTGTTCCAGCTCTTCCATCGTATCCACGAACAGAATGGATTCTATTGCTATCAAGATTTAACTGATAAATTGGGTTTAATCCTCCTGTACTGTAGCGGATGGAAGGCACTTCAGTATCGACAGAAGGGTTTCAAATAGCTGCGATGGAAAATGGTCCTTGCTCCGGAGATGTAAAAGAAACTAAAACCTCGTGTGGTAGGAAATAATTCATCCAGCAATGAGAACAGCAGCCCTTGGGTTCCTGCGCTGACTTCTAATCCCGATCGTTCCCTTTTGGATGGGATGTCACAGGTTTAAGGAGGTGATCCTGCCCCTCTGCTCTGCTCTCACGAGACCTCACTTGGAGTATTTTGTGCAGTTCTGGTGTTCTCAACATAAAAAGGACATGGAACTGTTGGAACAAGTCCAGAGGAGGCCACGAGAATGAAGAGGGACTGCAGCACCTCCTGTATGAAGACAGGCTGAGAAAGTTGGGGCTGTTCAGCCTGGAGAAGAGAAGGCTGCGTGGAGACCTCAGAGCAGCCTTCCAGTATCTGAAGGGGGCCTAGGGATGTGGGGAGGGACACTTCATTAGGGACTGTAGTGACAGGACAAGGGGTAACGGGTTCAAACTTAAACAGGGGAAGTTTAGATTAGATATAAGGAAGAAGAAGTTCTTTCCTGTTAGGGTGCTGAGGCACTGGAATGGGTTGCCCAGGGAAGTTGTGAATGCTCCATCCCTGGCAGTGTTCAAGGCCAGGTTGGACAGAGCCTTGGGTGACATGGTTTAGTGTGAGGTGTCTCTGCCCATGGCAGGGGTTGGAACTTGATGATCTGAAGGTCCTTTCCAACCCTAACTGTTCTATGATTCTAGGTTAGGGGTGTGGAAGCAGGATGGAGAGTGGCCCAGCATACGGCAGATCCCAGGCAGGAATGTGGTCCCTTGACCCCCACTGGTCCATGCTGGGTTTGATCACTGGATCTAGCTCAGCAGGATCCCGCACAGGAGGGGCTTCTCCGGGTTGGATTTGCTGAGTGAAGGGGGTGAACTGGCAGGGAGCTGGGGCTGGACTCCAAGACCGACATCATAAATGCTTCAGCACCACCAGGATCGCTCTTACCTGTTGACTTGGGGTTAAAATGAAGCCTACGCTGAAGTTGCCATTGACCATAATGGGCTCACCGGGGCGATGAGCTGCGCGCAGGGCTCAGCTCGGGGGCAGCCGCGTTAATGAGCGGGAGCGCTAATGAGGGGCGGGGCTTGGGGGGGGGTGTGCAGTCCCGGGGCCGCTCTGTATAACCCGTCTCCTGGCAACGAAGGGGACGTCACTTCCTGGGGAGCCGCCGCGAGGAGCCGGCCAGCGCGCGGACAGGTGGAGGAGCGCGTTCGGCGCTGCTCGGGTCCCGGTCGGGTCCTCTCGGCTCCTCTCGGCTCTGGGCCGGTGCCGCTCGGGTCTGGTCGGGTCCCGCTCGGGTCCGCCCGGTGCCGCTCGGATCCGTTCGGGTCCCGTCGCGATGAGCGCGGAGCTGGACGGCGTCTCCGTGCACTCTTCCTCCTCCTCCTCGGGCTCCCTGGGCTCGGCGGCGGGGCCGGCTCCTCGCCCGCTCTCCACCAACGTGCGGCGGCTGCACCAGGCGCTGACGGCGCTGCTGAGCGAGGCGGAGCGGGAGCGCTTCATCCTCTGCCTCAATGCCTACCACGGCCGCCGCAACGTCTGCGACCTGGTGCGCTCCCTCCGAGCCCTCCTCGACGTGCCCCGCCGCCGGCAGCTCATGCCGCTGCTCCGGCTGGTCCTGCCGCGCTCCGACCAGCTCCTCTTCGACCAATACACGGCCGAGGGGCCCTACCTGCCGCCCCTCGTCCCGTCGCCGCCGGTGGTCCCCGGCGAGCTGCGCCAGGTCACCCTGCGGCGGAGCAAAGCCCACGAGGGTCTGGGCTTCAGCATCCGCGGCGGGGCCGAGCACGGCGTCGGGATCTACGTGTCCCTGGTGGAACCGGGCTCCTTGGCCGAGCGGGAGGGGCTGCGCGTCGGTGACCAGATCCTGGGTGTCAACGGCAGGTCCCTGGACAGGGTGACCCACGCCGAGGCGGTCAAGGTAAGCCGGCTCCGGGATGGGGTCTGGTGGCCGTGCCCGTTTCACCCCCGCGGTGCGCCCTGTCCCGCTCTACTCCCTGCCGGGCGCCCCGTCCAGCTTCGCCCCATCCATCCTCGGTGCCCGCTCTCCCGCCCCGTCCCATCCCGGCTCCGCTCTGTGGGAGCCGGCGGTGGAGCCTGCGGCTCCCGGTTCGCATCGTGCCGGAGGGATCGGGCCCGTCCCGCCGGGGAACGGGGCAGCAGCAGCGCGGGGAGCGCAGCCGGTGGAGGTACCGGTGTGTGCGGGCAGTAACGCGCTGCCGGGGCCGTCCTCTCCGAGCCAAGAGGTTCTCCTCTGTCACAGCATCTCTGGAGTGCAGCGGTGCTGCTTGCGTTTTCCTTTCAGTCCGGGAGGCTTGTGGAAGTTGGCAACCCGGGTGATCCAGGTCCTAAGGCGGGTGCTCGAGCTGCTAGACCGTGTTTTCTGCTCCAAAAGGTGGGCGAACTGAGGCAAGGAGGAGCGGAGCAGCCTCCCCAGGACAGCAGGAGCAGATTTTAGATCCCTTTCCAACTGTATCGGGGAGGGGGAGAACAGTTACACAACCGAGGTGCTCTTCCCGCTGCGCAGCGTTTCCCTGTGTTCCTGCTGCTTACATTGCATCAGGGTGCTATGGATGACAGCTTTCCTCTGAGGCTTGGTGTGGGAGCGCCGTTAACTGTGGGGTTTTCCCCTGGAACTCAGTGTTTTGAGATAAAGTCCGTGTTTGAGTGGCCCATCCCATTCCCAGGGACCATCTTGTGCCTGGTGGGCTCAGCTCAGGGCATTCCCATGGCACAGCAGCACCTGGCACAAACCTGTTAAGCTGAAGAATCAACTTGTAGGGCAGCAGTTTGTAAGGCAGAGCGTGGTGAGCCAGGGTCTGGGCTGAGCAGAGTTTTCCAGCTGTTTGTGCTTTAATTTTCCCATAATAAACTAAAGCACTGCTGTTTGCAGCCTGCTTCGTGTGGTGCATTCCTCTGACAGCGCATTCATCTTGCACGGCTTTGATCAGCATCTTCACAGCCAGCCTGTGTGGTCCCTGCCCTAGCTTTAAACCTGCACCACAGGCAAGGACATGTCTTCCAGGCTGGAAGCGAGTCCCTGCTAATCCTGGGACCAAAGAAAGGGTTTCATAGAATCCCAGACTCGTTTGAGTTGGAAGGGACCTTAAAGCTCATCCAGTTCCAACCCCTGCCACAGACAGGGACACCTTCCACTGGAGCAGCTTGCTCCAAGCCCCTGTGTCCAACGTGGCCTGATTTGTAGGAATCCCTTTGTTTTTTCCTTCCTAATGCTAAGACAAGAACAGTGTGAGAGCTTTTGGAAGTTTGTCTGCAATTTTGTGTCCTGAAGATTGCAAAAAAACACCCCAAACTGCTGTGTTTTGACTGTGGTTTTGGGATGGGTAGCAATGAGGTGTCGGGAGTGCTCTGGTCTGTTAAATGACTTCATCTCTAATTCATCCCAGTCTGCTGGGTAATTCACATCACTTTGTTTGTTCTCTATTGCAATATACATGATGTCTTTTAGGCACTATTAATACTGAGTGAAACTAAGTGCTTTCTGCGCAGAAATCATTCCTTTAGGATGTGGGTTGCCAAGGGTTTGCTCTGTGACATTGCAGGAAAGAAGGAAAGAGAAGCTTAGAAATGGTCTGCTTGTGAGCCGAACTTGTTTAAATGACAGCTCTGTCACTCACCCACTTGTGCTGGCATCTTGGAGAGCTCCTGCACTCTTGTCACCTATGGGAAGGGTTTATGACACACGCAGTGGTGGGAGAAAGACTTTCCTTGGGAAGAGTCACAGTGATTTACAGGGCAGCTCTGATAGTTCCTCCCTAGGGTTTAGAATAAGGCTAGCGTCCTTGTGTGCTGCACTGAGGAGTGGATTGCATTCAGTGATGCTAAAGGGCAGTCTTTGAATGATTTCCCTGGGGTTTAGAACCAAATACCTCGGCCTAATGATCTGGACATGATGCAGGGTGTCAGAGCTGCAGGGAGGAGAGGTGGTGATGCACAGGGTGGCTTGGCCCCAGGTTCTCTGCATCCCCTTCGAGCCTGGGAGCTCAGGCTCAGTGTAAGTGTTAACAGCTCCACAAAGGCCTCTGGCTGTGGTCTGGTCTCCTCGAGCGGGACAAACCCCACCATGTCCTGACACCCTCACTGATGTCTGTTGGTCTGCTCTGTAGTGGATCGACGGAGAGAGAAACAGGATGAAAGCAGCCGGGTTTGGCCCTGGAATTTCCATGAGGGGGAAAAAAAAAGGTGAGCAGAGGCTTTCTTAATAAAAAACCATGGCTGCGTAGCTCCCAAATGCTGCCTGCCTGCTTTAGATGGGGAGATACGAATTCTCCCTTGGTCAGAAGCTGTCTGGTTAAAGCACAGCTCCCGTTTCTGTGCATAGAGGATGCTCTGGCTCTCCATCTGTCTGAGCAGGAGCACGTTCCTGTGCTGCACTTCCATCTTGCTTGTCCTGCAGCAAGAAGCTGTCTGTCCAGGGCAGCATTGTTATTCATAATATGCAGAACATGCTGTTGTGAGAGGAGTTGTCAGAGCTTGCTCTTCAGGGCAACTGCAGTAGATGGGGAAGGCTTTGGCTTAGGCTGCTCCTGGCTGCATCGCACTGTTGTGAGCACCACAAACTTACTGAACTGGAGATCAACTTCGTGCCTGTCAGGGTGCTCAGCTGCAGGCATGAGGCAGCTCTGCAGATGGAGCATGAATGAATGCATCGTCTTGGCTTGTTTGTGTGATCTAAGAGCGTTCACACTAGGCATTGCGTTCATTGTACAAGTCGTGGTAGCTCACTTGCTGCTTTCTCATGCCTGGCCATGCAGCAGTACCCCAGCACTGCCCTCAAGGAGGAGAGAGGCACTAACTGTGGAGCAGGAGCAACGTCTATCTCTTCAGGCATTGCTCGGAGCCGTGATGTACCAAAGGTGGAATCCTGGCACGAGATGACAACGGCCACAACACTGTACAAAGATGCAGGTTGGGAGCTGCATCCCATCCCAGCCAACAGCTGATGTGTGCTTTGTCACTGCTGCAGTGGGGCTCACGGATGTTTTAGTGTAAATAAGTTAAAAAATGGAATTCTGCCTTAAATGAGAAGATTACCTAAGCACTCCAAACCCATTCACTTAATGACCAGCTTCTTAACCTTTATGTGAGCGGTGCAGTTTTATGCCTCGCCTGCTTCGTGCTCGCTGCTTCATCCAAATCAAAATGAAATGACTCCATTACAATTATAGCTCTATCATTCCAGCATTCGAGAGCGCACTTCAGTAATAGATCACTCTAATTTGAATTATGGGGTAAGTGGAGAAGTTTGTATTGGCTGTCACATATTTTTAGAGCTTGCTTGGCTTTCAGCAGCCTTTCTACGTAGCACAGGGTTGATACTGCAGCAGTTGTGCTGAAAGTTTGCCTTGATAAGCTGTAAAAGTAGTTAAAATCAAGGTGTTTGTGTGTTTAGACCATCAAAACGCTACACAGGGGGGTATTTGCCCTCTGCTGTGGGGTTTGCATTAAGCTCACACTCCCTTTCCCCTGACTTCTGTTGCTTTGCAGTAGGGTTTATGTCCTTTGCATCATTTAGGGTGGAAGGGGAGAAGAGAGTGTTGAAGTATCAACACTGATGGATCATTCCTGCTTGAGGATTTGGCTTCATGAGCAACACCAGCCTCAAAAGAGCTGCACTGACTCCATCATTTGCCCTGCTGTGTCTTTCTGTGCTGGCAGCAGGGCAAATCTGGATGGGCTTGATCAAAATCCCCTCAAGTAACTCATTTGTGTGCATTGGGCATTGAGCGTGGTTCTGTTCATCTGTGGTAGCTTGGTGAAATGGGTTTGTTCTGAAGGATGTGAGGGGGGTTGAGCCCACCCCATGGGGCTCTTCAGAGTGGCTTTGGAGAGAAGCTGCAGGGTTTGTGCATGGTGGGGCTGGGGGAAGCTTGCGATGAGGTTGGATGGGGCTTGGAGCAAGCTGCTCTAGAGGAAGGTGCCCCTGCCCGTGGCAGGGATTGGGACTGGATGAGCTTTAAGGTCCTTACTCAGAGGGTTTCACCCCTTCCAAACCAGCCTTGCCCTCTCCTGCTCGAAGTAGGCATTGAAAAATAATGAAAAGGAGATTAAAATTGGCTTTTTATTTTCTCCTATTCATTTGGACTTTGGTGGCAAACAAGGTGATCTCTTCCAGGGAGGTGATATTCCGTATGCTGTTGAAAGAGCTCCAGCTGCTTGTGGTACTGCTAAAAGACCAGTGAGAAATGACACAAGAGATGTGCAGCCTTGGAGGCGTATTTACAGTGCTTTTACTTTCCAGGCAGCTTAAAGAAGGCAAATCTCATTTCATTGTTTCTTGTGATGCCCAATGAATTGATTGTCATCATCTGAGGCTGCTGCCTTGCTGTAGTCAGTAATCACCACTGCTCTGTACAGTCATTGGAACAGCCTGTAGGAATGAATGCAGCTTAGTTTGGTTGGGTTTTAACCCTTCCCAGTACTTGGAGTTGTGGACCATCACACACAGTCATGGGATGAAGGAGGAGTGAAAGCAATGCATCACTGAAAGGATACCAGGCTTGTTCCTTTAAATGCCTGCTTGTTTGTGTCTGTATTTTTAGAAGTCACTGATCCAGAGGCTAAAACCTGTCCCCTTTCGAAGGGATCTCAGGTGGCTGGAGCATGGCAAAGAAGGATATGACCAGCATCTCCCTCAGTAGATACAGTGGTAATCTACTCCTTGGTCTCTGGGCCTGCTTAGAAACACAACCCCCTCCAAAACCTGCCCACAAAAAAGGCTGTGCAGCTTCAGATGCAGATGCTGTGCAGTGCCATGCACGATGCTCTGCCCTCCTGTCCTGCAGACAGTTCCCATTTTCAGTTCTGTAGCCAGCTGAGCTCAAAGGGAGAGGGTGGGAAGTGTGAAGTCACCAGAGTCTCCTAGGAAAAAAAGGAGGAAGGAAAAAGGTCATTCTGAAA